TAGAATAGAATAGAATAGAATAGAATAGAATAGAATAGAATAGAATACTTTATTGGCCAAGTGTGATTGGACACACAAGGAATTTGTCTTGGTATAAATACTCTCAGTATACATAAAGAAAAGGTACATTCATTAAGAATCAAGAATCATAACGTACAACACTTAATGATAGTCATAGGGTATAATTAACAATCAAATCATACTAGGAAACAGTTAAGTGGGAGGGGATGGGTGAGAAGGAGTGGTGAGAAGATTAACAGTAATAGTAGTGTACACTTTGTAGACAGTTGAACAGTGTTGAGGGAATTATTTATTTAACAGAGTGATGGCTTTCGGGGGAAAAACTGTCTTTGTGTCTAGTTGTTCTGGTGTGCAGTGCTCTATAGCGTTGTTTTGAGGGAAGGAGTTGAAACAGTTTATGTCCGGGATGTGAGGGGCCTGTAAATATTTTCACAGCCCTATTTTGACTCATGCAGTATACAGGTCCTCAATTGAAGGCAGGTGGGTAGTAATTGTTTTTTCTGCAGTCCTAATTATCCTCTGTAGTCTGTGTCTATCCTGTTGGGTTGCAGAACCAAACCTGACAGGTATAGAGGTGCAGATGATAGACTCAATAATTCCTCTGTAGAAGTGTATCAGCAGCTCCTTGGGCATTTTGAGCTTGCTGAATTGGCGCAGAAAGAACATTCTTTGTTGTGTTTTTTTGATGATGTTTTTGATGTTAGGTGTCCATTTTAGGTCATGTGATACAGTAGAACCTAGAAATTTGAAGGTCTCTACTGTTGATACTGTGTTGTCTAGTATTGTAAGAGGTGGTAGTATAGGAGGGTTTCTTCTAAAGTCTACCACCATTTCTACGGTTTTGAATGTGTTCAGTTCCAGATTGTTCCGGTTACACTATGAGGCAAGTTGTATAACCTCCTGTCTGTATGCAGATTCATTGTTGTCTCGAATGAGACCAATGACTGTTGTGTCATCAGCAAACTTCAGTATTTTAACAGATGGATCGTTTGAGATGCAGTCATTGGTATATAGGGAGAAGAGAAGTGGAGGGGTCCCTGTGCTGATTGTACAGGTATTGGATGTGATTCCGCCGAGCTTCACCTGCTGCTTCCTGTCTGTTAGGAAGCTTATGATCCACTTACAAGTGTGTTCAGGTACCGCTAGTTGGTTTAATTTACTTAGAAGAGTGTCTGGAATGATGGTATTGAATGCTGAACTGAAGTCTACAAAGAGGACCCTTGTTTAGGTACTTGGAGATTGAAGGTGTTATAGGATGTAATGCAGAGCCATGTTAACAGCATCATCTCTCGATCTATTTGCTCGGTATGCAAACTGCATGGGATCTAACAGCGGATCCCTGATGGTTTTCAGATGGGACAGCACAAGCCTTTCAAAGATTTTTATAACTACAGATGTCAGAGCAACTGGTCTGTAGTCATTCAGTTCCTTGATGGTGCTTCTTTGGCACTGGGATGATGGTAGAACGTTTGAAGCAGTTAGGAACATAGTACATCTCTAGTGATCTATAGAAGATTCAGGTGAAGATGGGGGCCAATTGGTCAGCACAGACTTTTAAGCAAGAAGGAGTTATCTTGTCTGGCCTTGGTGCTTTTCCTGGCTTTTGTCTGTGTAATAGATCTTGCACTTCTTTTTCTGTGATCACCAGAGGTTGTGAGCCCAATGGATTGGGGCCAGTTGTAGGAGGCTTGGCTGTTGTTGGTGTGTTTGAGATGTGGGTTGTGGAGATAGGTGGCTGTAGTTTCTTTTCAAACCTGCAGTAAAACACATTCAGGTCATCTGCTAGTTGTTGATTTTCTTCTGCCTGGGAAGGAGGTTTGCTGAAGCCAGTGATGTTTTTAAGAGTTTTCCATAGGTTTGCTGGTTCATTTGTTGAGAATTGATTCTTTAACTTTTCAGAGTAGCTTCTTTTTGCTGCTCTGATCTCTCTTGTTAATATGTTTCTGCCCTAGTTGTATAGCATTCTGTCACCTTTTCTGTAGGCTTCCTCTTTGGAACGATGTAGCTACTTAAGTTTAGCTGTGAACCAAAGTTTATTGTTACTATATATTTGCAGGTTCCTTGTTGGTACACATAAGTCTTCCCAGAAGCTAACATATGATGTTACAGTATCTGTGAGCTCATCTAGGTCTGCAGAGGCATCTTCAAAAACATTCCAATCAGTGCAATCAAGGCAGGCCTGGAGTTTCAGCTTTGCTTCATCCGACCAAGTCTTCACTGATTTAATTGTTGGTTTAATGGTTTTAAGTCTTTGTCTGTAAGCAGGTACAAGGTGAATCATGCAGTGGTCAGAGTGTCCCACAGCTGCTCGTGGTAAAGACCTATAAGCATCTTTTACTGTTGTGTAGCAGTGGTCTAAAGTATTTTTGCCTCTGGTGGGACAATTTACATGCTGGAAATATTTTGGGAGCTCTTTGCTTAAATTTGCTTGATTGAAATCTCCTAAAATGATGGGAAGGGAACCTGGGTGTTTGGCTTCAGCCTCCATAATTTGATCAGCAATAGTTCATAATACCTTGTTTACACAGGCTTGTGGAGGAACATACACGGCTATTAGGAGAAGTGAGGAGAACTCACATGGAGAGTAAAATGGCTTGCAGTTGATGTGTAAAGAGTCTAGGTTTTAATCACAAAACTTATATATTATAGTTATATCCTGAGACCAGCTGTTGTTGATATATAAACATAATCCTCCACCCTTTGTTTTACCTGATGTCTCTTCAATTCTGTCTGATCTAAATGTCTGATATCCTGGGATGTATATGGTGTTGTCCCCATGAATTTGTGGATTAAGCCAGGTTTCAGTAAAACAAAGAACAGCTGAATTATGAAAATCAGAATTCCAGCTACTTAAGAGATGAATTTCATCCATCTTGTTAGCCAGTGAGTGTAAATTAGTCAGAAAGATTGAAGGGAGTGGAGTTTTTTCCCCCCTATTCCTTAGTCTGTTTAAAATTCCTGCTCGTTTACCTCGTCTCCTCTTCTGGCGTGGTTGCTTCTTTTCTTTCTTTGTTGTAATCCATAGCACTGGGGAATTGGTTAGAATCTCCTCCGCGTTTGCAAAGACAGGTGGGAGTGGGGAATCAGAAAGCTGCTCCTTAAGGAAACATTGCCTAACTCTTAGCAGATGGTCTCGTGAGTATGAAATCCGTAGTGAATTGCAGATAATAATAAGGAATAAAGAAACCATTAGAGAGCATTTCAGAGGCAGCCATCGTCAGTGCCAAACTCCTACTCCAAACTCCTACTGTATATATTTATCAATCTCAATCAATGATCAAAACAACATGGGAGGAGGAAGACCATGGAAAAGCACGCTTACACTTCTTTCACCTCGATACTAATGTTTCTCCTGATACTGAAGACAAACATCTAAAATACGGAATCAATTCTTGACACAGAATGACTTTTCTTAAGCTGGGAGCCTTCCGTTGCTCAGAATCCCAGCAGTTGAATGACTTCTGGTTTCTGGAAGGCTGACAAAGAGGTTCTCTGTGTGAGGTAACATTGGAATGTTCCTGGAAGCACCATCTAACTTTCCTGGCCACACTATCTTTATTTAAAATAAATGTATGCAAAATAATAGCCCCGTGGAAAAGTCCATAAGTACATCAAACAAAATGGAAGGTACTAAAATACATGTACTACCAGAATCAGAAATGGAAGATAATGGTAACCATGGAGAAAAGGTGTCACATGTACCAAAAGAAAGGCCTCCATAACTACTCATGCTGCTCCATTTTGCATCAGTTGAAGTTTCTAAATGCTCTTCAAAGCCAACTACACGCATAGCCCATTGCAGTGATAGAGTAAGCTGCCCAGTGTAGGAATAAGTACAACTGGTACACAATCCCTGCCCTTTGTAGTGTCTGTCTGGGAAGCAATATAGGGATTGAAGAAGTGAGGAAAATTGCTAAAAGACTCTTCTATGTATACACCAATAGAAAAATCCATTAGATCAAATTTTCCATCAGAGGGGGCAGTATAAATGGAACCTAGCTCAATCAATTTTATAGAAAGTAATTCATTGAATTGTACAATATATGCCTACTTTAAAGACAAATACCCTATATGAATATTTAAAATGCATGGAACCCCTTAACCTGCCATGGAATAGCTCCAACATAAGTTTTATTCTTGATTCTTGATTGGGTTTGCCACTTTCCAAATGCACCAAAGATTCTAACATTCTATGTCAGAAACCAGTAATAGCCTTAACTCCTAATTTGGCATTGCCAGTAATGAAAGTTGCTGGGCTATTTTATTCAATGACATTTGTAGGGCCATATGTTTCTCAACTGTGTTCTTTGTAATGGGGATTTAATTATTGTAATTTCAGTCATAGGTAACATTCTGTTCAAACTGGCAGTCAATATGCTGCTAGTCTAATCTGCACAGTACATTGCAGTAATTCTCTGTTGCTGTGAGATATATGTATGTCTCTGTTCTCTCTGTCTAAGATTACAAGTAGTCTTACAAATACAATTTACTAAACAAATACAATTGGGACCAGAACTTCCACTGCTAAGTGAGGTAGTCGTTAAATGAACCACATACAATTTTATTTTTTTGCTGTGATCAGTAAGCAAATGTCCATTATTGTTAAGTGAATTGCCCAGTAATTGAGCGAATCCAGTTTTTTCTATTGACTTCGCTTGTTGGAAGCCATCCAGGAAAGTAACAAACAGTGATCATATGACTTTGGTTGCTGCACCATTATAAATATACGCTGGTGACCAAGTGCCTGCATTTTGATCATGTGACTGCAGGGACGCTGCAGTACAGTAATTTGTAAGT